TCATCGACCCCTCCCACACGATAGTGGTCTCTCGGAAAGGAGCGTCTGGCTGGTTTGTGCAAGGTGTAGGTACTTTTGGTTTGCAACCAATGCTTGATTTGACTTTGCGATGGCATGGTTTTCTTCTTGCTTTTACTGGTTCTTGCATCTTGAGCCTGGATGCGTGCTGCTTTCCACAAAGGTCGCCAGCCTCCAAAACTTGCAGGATTTTCAGGATGAAAGTAAGTTTTTTCCAACCAGGCCGTCCAAAGGGAAGTAGGAAATCCTTTGTTTTGTTTCCCTGCAGCAGCAGCAGAGGGAAGAATGCGCTGTCGCGTCTTGGTCTGTCGCTTCATTTCTCTCAGACTGATGCCACTTCCTACATGAATGGCCGTTTTATAGAGAAGGGGAGAGATTTATTTTTTCTTAGGTGGTGCTAAAGGGTATCCATGAACCTCGCCTGTTGATGACTCTGTCCTGTTTGGTATCAGATGGAGGTGGAGTCATCAACCATGGGGTTGACATCACATCTTTTTCTTCGTCCACTGGTCGATCCAGTTGCCATGAAGGAGGTGGGGGTGGCATCTCATCTTCTTCTTCTTCTTCTTCTTCTTCTTCCGCTTGTGGATCCAGCTGCCGCCTCCCTCTTCTTCTTCTCTCTTTGTGACTTTGCGGGGAGAACGTAGGGAGGGAGAACTGGGTTATGGGTGTTTCTGGTGTGGCATGAGGATGGTGTTGCTGCTCCTGCTGCTTCTGCATCCATTGCCATCGTTGAGGATTTCCAATTATTTCATGAGGGACATGACTGTTGGCCAAATGGTGACTTAAAATGGTCCAACCAGCAGGTCCCTCTTTGGTTTTCCGGTGACGCACTAAATCGTTGATCAAGTCCACCATGTGTGTGCCAGGGACAGGTTTCCCTTCCACGGTCAGGGTTCCCTCTGGAGTCCAACTCAAGACGGGATTGTTTTGAATCCTTGTCATCAAATTCATGGCTTTACTGGACATGACATTAGGAACACTCATGACCACTTCGTCTATCACTTGTTGAGGAGGGGCAGGTTTACCTGTGGTGTCCATTGTTGATGGTGATGACGGTGGTAGTGGTGGTGTCACTTTGGGTTGTAGTGGTTTGATGGTGTTGTTGTTGCTATTGTTGTTGTTGGTGTGCTGTTGGGGCTGCAACTCTAGCATGTGTTGCAACAGTTGGTTGCATTCTTGTTCCCGCATGTGAAAAGGCTGCTGTGACCTCTGCATCAACACGTCCATCTCTTCCAAATTTTGGAGACGTTTCTTTTCCAAGAGAGGGGTATGAAGTGTCTGACGATGACGTTGTTTGGTGGCCTGTAGACTTTGCCATGTGTCTTCAGACACCAACACCATCTTGCGTGCGTACTTCATGGTGGCACACCACACACTGATCCCAACCTTCCTGGTGTTAGACCATTTATTACTTTCCTCCAAACAAAGAGGCTAGGGCATAACCAATAAGAGGTATGAGTCCTCCTAATAATCCTCCTCCATGTTGAAGAAGTTTACGTTTCTTGCTTAGAGGTATTTGTTTTTTCATGAGCGTATTCAAGACTTTACCGTGTCGTTGCAAGTTTTGACGTTGCGTCCTGGTCATGGGAATATTGCCTGCATACAAGTTCACCACACATTCACAAAGGGCACGGATGAGATCAGTAGGAGCATGTTTGAGAATGGCTTTGCGCATCGCTGGAGCGGCAGCACACAAATGACACAGAGCATGTTTCTGTTTCCTGAGGCACTGAGACATCTTTCTTGCATGGAGGTGTTAGCCTGAATGAGTCACCTGATCTGCAGCTTCTCTCTTTTATCAGGCAGTGGCAGGAGGGAGTTGCAACTGTTGATCTGCCTTCTTGGACTTTCTTTGTGTCCGCATGTGCACCAATCGTCTGAGAGCATCAGCTTGATATGCTTTCATGACATTTTCATGAGCCTTATCTTTTGGCTTAGTAGTCATCGTTGTTGTTGTTGTAGGTCGGTGGCGCCTGGTGTTACCCTGTTTGAGGAGTGGTGCTTGAAGATAATGTTGCCATTGCAACGGAATGCGTGTCAAGACCCCTGCAAGTGTTCCACTACCACTGCGTTGCATCAGGTAGTCAAGACGTTCATCCATAGGCAGACGTGGATTGACAATTTTAGTCAGGGTATCATTATGTCTCTGCAACCACGTCTTATGTTGAGCTTTCAATGGGATGTGTCCTGCTCTCAGGTTCCGCACGACAATCGCAAACCACTGCAAAAGACGATTTCTTCCTTTGACGGCAAGGGTTGTCGCATCCCTTGTCGGAAAAATAGACGGTCTCTTGTCTTTTTTCTTCCTTTGTGGGGGCTCCTGCTGCTGCAGACGTTGAAAGCGTTGAAGATCGAGTGGGGGTGAGGGTGCTGATGAGGAAGGCTGTTGTTGTTCTTGACGATGCTTGTTCAAGGGTACCATCAAAGAGTAAGACGGACCTGGCTTGGACTTCTGCTGCTGCTGCTGTTGCTGTTGCAGAGGTTGAAAGCGTTGAAGATCATGTGGTGACGAGGGTGGCGAAGGTGCTGATGATGTTGAAGGACGTGGTGATGGCTGCTGCTGACGATGTATGTTCACGGGTACCATTGAAGAGGGACACGATCCTGGAGGTGAAGGAGTCTTGTGAAATACAGAGGTCACAAGTCCCTGTAGCGATGAGGGGGAGACCATACTGTCATAGACATCATTCACCATCTCTTTGTCTTTGTTCTTTCCCTTCGTAGGATGAACCTGTTTCCGTCTTTGCCCCATGATGGATGTAGGTCAACTGAAGGAAGGTCTGAGGGTTCACCTCCTTTTATGAAAGTCTCTTCATCTCATAGGATCGGCACATACACGAGGGGTAATTCGGACCTCGAAAACAGGCGGGCGCGTACGCGATGGTCTTGCAACGTGGTGGGCTTCAAGTCCAAGAACAGGTAAGTGTAAGGCTCTCGGGTAGCGTCTTCATAGGCTTCACGCAGAAAAGGAACTTTGCCTGGAAACACCTGGCGAGCCAGACTGTCGATCTGCGATGCATCTCTCGGATTTTTAAAGAGGACCATGTAGTGAGCATTCAGACTGATGGTGCGATGTTGCGGCGATTGAGCAAACAAGTTCTGAGTGAGATACAGCACAGATGTGTTTCGGTGATGACTTTTTTTGGTGAACCATCGCCGCACTTCGGTTTCTTCTTCTTTCGTATTGTCCCCCAGCAAATCATCGATGACCAGCCAATGTGGGGCCACCCCTTTTTCGGGCAAGGCACGATCCGCTTCTTTCATGCTGTGGACAAACTCAAGAGCGACCCCTAAGCGGTCTGCCATCTCTTTCAGTTCATGATGAAGCGGTTGCCATTCGCTGTACACCCACACGATGGGGTGACGTATCCAACACCTCTGGGCGATGCATCTGTTCCATACATGATTCCACAAAGGAACTTTTTCCTGATCCCGTGGGTCCCGCAATGAACATCGTTAAAGGATGGAGTAGGGTCAAAGGGCTGGTCATGACCTCTTCATCATCATGTGATGCCATCCTGTGTTCTGGCTGACTGACACCAGGCAACTGATCCTTCCAAGCATGACCTTTCTCTTTTATCTGTTATTTTTTTCTTCCTATCTCTCCGATGAGTCATACAATTTCTTATGAAAAAAAGAAACACAACGGTCGGTCCGATTTAGAAAACCGGGGCTCAGACCAAGTGTCGGAACGAACCCATCAGCACGATGCGTTTTCGACCAATCAGGAAGCAGGGTGTCAGTGCCTCTCCTATAAAAAGAGCGAAGCCACGCACACGGTCACAGTCGAGCACTGAAAGAGAGATCAACCATGTCGTCTCGATGCAGCTGTCTGACGTGCCAGACCAACAGTCAACAATGCCAGCGGAGGATGAAAGTCTATTCGTGGACAATAGTGGGCTACCCACGGGGTGAATCGGAGACGATCCTATCGCAGAGCCCACACTGGTTTAAGAACAAGTCTGAGGATATGTCAGCATTACAACAAACTATTCATAGCGGAATTGACATACCCGACTGTTGGGGTGGTCCGTATTATTATCTAGTATCGAGATCAAGGAAAGTAATGTAATCAAGGTGACAACCCTTGTCCAGCTTGTTTCCAGTTTGTTTCCAGTTTGTTTTCCAACGGCCCTTTTCAGGGCCACCCATCTCTCCCGAAAGACAACTTTCCTCCTTTGCTTTGACGACCCTCCAACCCCCACACCGTGAACCCACCCCCGCCTCCTCCCTCCTTCCCTTCACCACCACCCTCCCTTCACCACCACCAACACCACCCCCACGTCTATGTGTAGAACAACAACAACAACAAAAGATTTTTGACGCGCTTCTTTCAATGTCGATCCTGTTCACCTTTTACGTGCGCTTCTCCGGGTTTCCCCCTTCTCCCCGGAAACGGATGCGACGCCATCTTGAAGGCGCACGCCACCGGACACGGATACGCCGCAATCTTGAATGCGCACGCCACCGGAAACGGATGCGACGCCATCTTGGTTGTGCACGCCACCGGAAACGGATGTGCCGCCATCTTGGAGGCGCACGCCACCGGACACGGGTGCGACACCATCTTGGATGCGCACGCCACCGGAAACGGATGTGCCGCCATCTTGGATGCGCACGCAAGTCCCATCATGCCCCGCGCGCATGCGCAGGTCACGTGACCGGATGTGACGTCACAGGTCACGTGATCCTCTCGACCAATCAGAAGCCAGGAGCGGTACTGGGGTAAGGCGTACAACTACTGACAGGTATCACAGTCTCTGAACAAGGGTGACGGCTCATAGACTAGAGTTGCTTCCCTTCGATAAAGAGCAGTTTCTCTTGCAGGCGACGGATGGATTGCCGTGACGGGCAAGCAGATACAATTGCGGAAGGCAATTGTTGCTTAAGCTATATCTAGTTATCCGCTGTCTACAAATTGGTTTCAGTTGGAACTATATCACTTGTTGTCTCTGTTCGATTGACATATCACTAACATTATGACGGATAATATAATAACGCCAGCACAGCCACCACCCTCTCCACCCACCACCACCTGCCCCTACCTCCACCCTCTCCACCCTCTTCACCCACCACCACCTGCCCCTACCTCCACCCTCTCCACCCATCACCACCTGCCCCTACCTTCACCCTCTCCACCCATCACCACCTGCCCCTACCTCCACCCTCTCCACCCACCACCACTTGGCCCTACCTCCACCCACCACCACCCTCTCCACCCACCACCACTTGGCCCTACCTCCACCCTCTCCACCCACCCACACCTGCCCCTACCTCCACCCACCACCACCCTCTCCACCCACCACCACCTGCCCCTACCTCCACCCTCTCCACCCATCACCACCTGCCCCTACCTTCACCCTCTCCACCCATCACCACCTGCCCCTACCTCCACCCTCTCCACCCACCACCACTTGGCCCTACCTCCACCCTCTCCACCCACCACCACCCTCTCCACTCACCACCACTTGGCCCTACCTCCACCCTCTCCACCCACCTCCACCCACCCACACCTGCCCCTACCTCCACCCACCACCACCCTCTCCACCCACCACCACCTGCCCCTACCTCCACCCTCTCCACCCACCACCACCTGCCCCTACCTCCACCCTCTCCACCCAAAACCACCTGCCCCTACCTCCACCCACCACCACCTGCCCCTAACTCCAGCCTCTCCACCCACCACCACCTGCCCCTACCTCCACCCTCTCCACCCAAAACCACCTGCCCCTACCTCCACCCTCTCCACCCACCACCACCTGCCCCTACCTCCACCCACCACCACCTGCCCCTACCTCCAGCCTCTCCACCCACCACCACCTGCCCCTACCTCCACCCTCTCCACCCAAAACCACCTGCCCCTACCTCCACCCACCACCACCTGCCCCTAACTCCACCCTCTCCACCCACCACCACTTGGCCCTACCTCCACCCTCTCCACCCACCACCACCTGCCCCTACCTCCACCCTCTCCACCCACCACCACCTGCCCCTACCTCCACCCTCTCCTCTCCACCCACCACAAACATATATATATATATATATACTGAACCAAATTAAAAACTTCACAATCCTAAAATTTTAACATTTTGACCATTCTGTCAATGATGCTGTCAACACCAACTTAGGCGTGCCTGGCTGTGACGTGTAAGCAAAATTGGGCGTATCGCCGGACGTGGGGGCCGGATGCTGTGCTCCCGGCCCTCATCAGGCTGCGTACTGTTCTGCCACAAATTGATCCGGCAGAAATGATATACAACGATAAGCCCTAATCACAAAGTCGGTGCACTCACGAATATATAGTAATTGTCACACTTGAATATCTTCGATGTGGCGCGAGGTCCGACTTGAATCGAGGAATCAGTGTGCTGTCCGTGATGGACGCAAATTGACAGACGCAAGGCATGTCGCAGTATGAAGACCTCGAATCGTCTTCGTCACCCTCTTATATAGGCAAAGTAAGCGCTCCAGAATGTACTCTACATAGACGCGACTATAAAGTAGCCGTATATGCGGAAGTTACGACACAGTAGCGGTAGGGTAACGAGGATGTCAAGAGCTGGACAGAGTTTCAAGCATACATAAACAGACCAAGGGAAGTAACTCAATGTCAGTCACAACTAGAATTAAATGTATTTTACAGGTGTTTCAATCAGTAGTATAGGTAATGGGGGTTCTGGACCACTTCCACTGGAGCTGGATTTATATACCTATACTGCTACTACAGATGGAATTTTTTATGTCAAAATGAATTATGTGATTTAATGATAGTCATGAGATTAAGTTAAATTGGCTCCAGTTCACCACCACCTGGGGCCAATGATATAAATTTTTATAGGTAATGGGGGTTCTGGACCACTTCCACTGTAGCTGGATTTATTACCTATACTGCTACTATAGGAGGAATTTTTTATGTTAAAATGATAATGTGATTCAACGATGAGTCTAAATGTGATCAAACGATAGTAAGCAATCTATTTTTAATCTCCAACCAGTTCTTTGGTTTTGACACGGAATAACTGACGCGCTTGTTGCCTCCCCTGTTCTATGAACTTTTTTTTCTCGTCTTCGCTAATACCACTGGTCTTACGAGATTTTGATCGAATCTCCTGCTTCATTGTGTTGTATTTGGTGAGTTCCTACAGCACTAAACGAAACTCATCCTCGGATATCTTACAATCGGCCATTGCTGTTGAAATATGATCCTCAATGCTGTTCAACTTTGCTTCGGCGAGTATCCGAATACTATCGTGTTTTAATGCTTTCTTTTGTAACCTACGAGAAATGAATTTTATCGCTATTCCTGCCAGTCCCGAGACTCCAGCGGTTATTTCCATGCCGAGCACGATAGGTGCGGCGATTATAGTTGATAGTAAACCGATACCCGCTACACCGAGTCCCATACCAGATACTACAAGCGCGGTGTCAACTCCGTCCAGAGCATTCACGGCTCTGCGATACTTTTTATACAATCCAAGTCTCAACTCCCTATCCTTCCCTATTCGATGTTTTATGTCGTTTATTTGATGTAATCGAAATCCATCAACAGTTTCCATCTTTTCAAATGCTTCACCGAGCGCCGGATATAAACTCATAGTGTATATTATGATCATATAATAGTCTTTAATTGGTCTTGCTTAAATGTTTTGATAGTATACATCAATCTTATCAAATATATATTATACGGCAAGAATATCTTAGTAAGAGAAATACTACCACTTTTAATAATTTGGACCCCCTCGAGGGTTGCAACGGGTGATGCTCCGATATGAATAATACTGCAACGTTGACGTTGGTGTTTCTTAAGCCATTTAATTGATAGACCTTGTAATATATCGAAGGCATCTTCCGGTGCATCTCCGAACAAGACTTCAATAATAAGCGTAGAAAGATTAGGTATTGCACTCAGGTTAACTTTAATTTCTTCGAATTCAGTAACCAAATTTAAAGTAACATTTTTTAAGGACGGACGACTATATAACATATGACCTGGGTTTTCTGACAGGGGAGTGACCAACACACTTTTTCGTTTTGATGGGATATAAGCCGCGAGTACGATGCCACTATTTATTATCTTAGTTAAATTATGTTCCTTACCCATCATCACATAAGGTGGGGTAATGACGATATTCAGTAGCCACTCGATGTTTGCTTCGATCATAGTCCATTTATTATCGTCGTTGTGAGTAATATTGTACGAAGTGTTTTTAAGGAGTCTACTTACATCGACATCGCTTAAATCTTCTAGATTACCCGTGAATGTGACTTCTTTCCGCTTGTATACATTATCGTGTAAGTGTAAAGCGTATAACTTACCATTGGTACCGGGTTTACCAAATCCTTCCGTGTCTCCGAGATCGGAAAGCGCAATTGTATTACATTGTCTTACTGTTCCAGGGCCTGATGCATCAACCATTATTTATAATATGGAGTGTTACGCTTAAGTATCCTATATGTACAGGTTGATGTTTTACATCTAATACAGAAATTTTGAAGTCTGAAATAATACCCCGCTTCAATTTTTTATATTGTAATGATGAGAAAGATTCCGTTCTACCGCTATTATATTTTTCATCTTTCACTGGAACACTTCTAAGCAGAGTTGAAGGACTTTCTAGTTGAATATTATTTGTTGTACTGATTTGATCAAGATGGATGCACAACTCTTTATAGGGAACTAAATCGGGTAATGTCTCTCCATCTTTTAATGTATTGGATATTTTTAATATTTGTGTAAATCCAAGTGTGTTTGTTAAGTTATTGTAAGGAAATACACTTTTTTTTTCTCCAGGGTATAATTTCAGTCTCCCATTCGCCTCATTTTGTGTGAGACTAGATCCATTAGGTTTAAAAAATTCATCATTGAGTGAGCATACGCTGTAATACCCATCAGGTATAGTAATGATTTTAGGAATATCATTTTCAACTATTAATAATTCATTATTTTCTTTCGCAGCATTTATATTGGTCCACCGTGGGTAATACGTTACATCGCATAGAGCTACTTCGAGTTGTCCATCCGAGTTATCGATAGTATGAAGCAGTTCAATAGACTGACCATTTGTTATTCCTGGGAGTGTAACATACATATTAAATATACAATGATACTATATCATAATTTAAATATGAAATCGAGATATATTACTAATCAATCGATTATAGTAACTGCCTCCGGTGCTGAATTTTTCGTTAAATTCCCAGATATCTTTGAAAAGTACAGGGTCACGGCAACTAGCGATAAAATGGTGCACGATTGGTTTCACAATCCGATGCAATTTTGGCAGAATCAGTTAAACTTTGCCATATGGTGTGCCACAACGGGATGTGGTGTATCTGTTAATGCTCCAGGATATATGCTAAATAAGTCTGTTTTATTATTTCATGTGTATTATCAGATTAGACGTATACTTAAAGAAATTAATGCTCCATTACCACAAGATCGAGCGTGGAATGTATCAAATAATCCGTATAATAGGGGGGTGTATGAACGTATTTGTAATGAATTTAATGTTTCTACGAGTAAAGATTGGCGTATTAAAGGAGCAAACCATGGTCTAGGTATTCCGTACGCTGGTGCACACTCTGTTAAAGAAGTCAGCGATGATTTACTGAAAAGGGGTCGGCTCCTTCCGAGCTTTGCTCTCTCAAGTAACGAGTGGAGAGATGATCGTATGAACTTTAAGGATGGTGTTGCTTTCACCATCCAAAAGGTTGAGCAACCACCTGGAGACGCTTGGAATGAATTTCTTAATGATAAAACGGAAAATAATTTTACTAACCCAGGATTTGTAAGATTTAATGAATCGATAAGAACTTATGTATGGGCAATTCTCGGTGCACAATCGCAAACACGAACATCCATTATCGGTTCTGGGACGGCGCTCGATGCGCAAAAACAGTTTGTCGCAAACGTGGAGGACGCCATTAATTCACCAGTTGACATACCATCGTCTATAAAACGTTTTCAAGATGCATTACAGTACGCTCAATCCAAAGTGGACTTTGGTTTATGCACCGGGACTATACATGTCTCCGAGTAATATGGAACTTAAGATCGGTCAAGTGATAGGCTATAATAATAAAATTGTTATCGCTACCGATCAACAAAAACCAGGTATTAATTCAGATATTAACGTCGAATTAATAACGCAAACGATCACGGGTGAAAAGGGAATAGTCAAGCCACAAACACCAACTATCGCACAACCATCTACTAACGCACAAGTGCCACCACATATTGAGGCTAAAAATCAACAACATATCGATGAAAAAACAGCGCTTGTAGTGGGTGGAGTCACGGTTGGTTTACTCATGATTTGGTTAAATAGTTCTTAGCGAATACGTACAACAGCCCTGCAATTGCCACGATCAGCCCCCACAAGTTTTGACTAAGCCAAGTGGTGGTCTTAGCTAATAAATTCAATAGCCAGGAAACTATACTCCCTATTATACCAGGAAGTGCGGCCGCGGCTTTCTCAGCGAGCTTTCCCAGTGCTGAACCTAATGCTTTTAAATGTTTTTTTATCCACTCTTTTATACCGTTTTTATCGCTGGGTGGTGTACCTCCACCTGTACCACCACCTGTTAACGAGAGAGTCAAAGTCGATATAATAAATCCCAACGCGGTTAAAATACTGGCAATTGTTATTCCCTGTTCTCTGAACAATGTTTTAATTTTATCGGCCAGTGTAGTGTCATCGTTGAGGACTTGATCGATAGTTTCTCGAATACGACTGATTTGCGAACGAAGTGCCTTTTCATTACTGGAAGCTGCTTCGTTGCGGGCCAATCTTTCGTCTTCTAAGCTACGCAATCTTTCCGCTACTCGGCGTCTACTGAACTCATCACCCGCCTGTTCGAGTTTTGTTTTCTCTTGAGCTATATGCTTGTC